AAAATAATAGAACTGTACATCATAAATACATCAGTAATGAGCACTTTCTATATAAAACTTCTATCCAAGTACGCCAAGACAAATTAACCCACCACATTACACATATTGAATGTGTTATCAAACGAATTTTGACCAAATCAAATTTGGTCGCAAATTTTTTAGACTTTTCAATAGTGCTTCTCTAATTGTAGCACAAAAACATGCAGGTACATTTTGTGTAAATCTACCATCAAAATGAATCGTTTACATAACAGCCTCAGAGAAGAACCAACTTACCAAGTATCATCTTCAAATACTGTTGTAGCTGCAGGTGGTGTTTGAATAAATACTAGCAGGCAATGGCATTTTAGATAAATGCCAACAAAGTTTTAAAACCTCATCAAAGTCAAGATTTGTACACTATAGCTGTGTTAAACGTCTCTAATTCACATTTTACCCTGCGCGGGGTATTCTTTGCAAAACCAGAAAAGATTTTTGATTTCTTAGGGAAACCCACATCTGCACTCAACACCAAATACACTTTCATGATAAGATGGCAGAGAAGAATTCTTCACAGCCCTCTTTGAAACAGTTGCAAGATGAAGCTAGAGCTTTAGAGATTGTAGTCAATCTTGCTTATCGCATGTAAATAAAATGGCAATATAGAATACTGCGTATCTTTAACAGCCTTAATTTGAACAAATGGAATCATAAAAGCCTGCAGCATCTATATCATCCGTTTGGCAAAGTTCAGTTTCTCTTCATTCATATGGCCCTGACTCATAGGGCGTCAATGAGATCCTTAAAATCGGAGACAAACCACTTGGCACGTGATCTCACCTCCTCTCTCACAACATTTCCACCAAAACCTGTAACCAATCGACAAAAGAAACTAATCAGTATCTGAACTTCCTCTCAAGAAAATAATATAAAAATTAAAACTTATAATTACCAATGAAAGCATCAGCTGGTGGGCAGGCCTCAAGATCGGTTGCACCATCTCCAATCAGAATTATTGAGTTGTATCTGTGAGTCTTCTTCAACATTTTAATAACATCTCCCTTGCCTCCCTGTCTTGATGTTGGCTCATCTTCATCGAAACCAGCGTATTCACCTAAACAATTAATAAAATGTAAAATGAAAAAATGGTGTCTGTAAGATAAAACACACAAAACAAATAAGGATGAAGCTTACCATTGTAGTAAAACTTGAGTCTGTTTGCATACACATTCTGAATAGGAATATTTAATTCTTGGGCAATAGGTTGAATTAAGGAACGGAAACCACCGGAAATCAGGTAAACTGGGATGCGCCTTTTGTGTAGTTCTTCCACCAACTCCCTAAATAATACGGAAAAAAATAATTAATAAATTATACAAAAAAAATTACTATAAACCTTAAATAATGTGTAAACATACTTTATTCTTGGGGTAAGACGAGCTGGCTCATTCTGAAGGAAGCTCTTGATTTGGCTTGTTGAAGGCTTAATGATGTTCAATCGCATAGCAAGAGCTTCCCGGAAATTCATACTCCCTTTCATGGCTTCCTTAGTCCTGGAAACAAGTATAAAAAAAACTAAAAATTAAAATCCCATTATGGCCAATCAAATTTTCAAAAGCTGGAAATGTATGTCTTCATTACAAAAAAATCGTAAAACAATTCTTCCCCCAAAAAGCAAAAACAAACAAATTGCAAGCAAACGCTTAGGTTGGAAGTGGAAAGATTTTAAAATTTTGCTATTTAAAAATGACAGCAGAGGATAGTATATCAGTGGCTTCGAGCACAGCTGTTACAATCTTCATGTTATCTTGACAGAAAAGTACAGTACCCCGATCCCTAGCAACAGCTGACACAAATCATTGATTGCTTCTCGAATAGAAAGAGGTTTGATATTTGCTCAGTATTCAGTTTTAGTGTAAATTAACGGTTTCTAAAAAACGTATTAGTAAGACTTACAAAGCAGCAACAGCATCTCCTTTTCCACAGTATTTGGCCATTTCATCGATTGCTTCGTCCATGATGACAGTGGAGTCAACATCAAAACAGACAGCATCTGCGGTGCGCCACAGGTAGCGCGCCTGGTCTGAAGAGTCCATATTCCTGATGATAGGCTGCAACAAACAATACAATAATTTAAAGACACTTTCAAGACGAACCTACAACTATCTTATGTGCCCAACAAGAATCCAAAATCAGCAGCCACCTTGTAACCTAAGAACACAACTCATCAATAACGCCATTTTCCAGGTTGCTGGGCAATGACAGTTTACCCTAAGACCAAGTTTCGCATGAATGTGTCAGTCTCTAGACAACGACTCCCCGCACTGGTTGACGCCCCTCAGCTAAAGACTCCGACTCCTCCCTGGACTTACAGTGGAGGCTAACCATGTCGGCGGCGTCGTCGAGAGCAATCTCCCGGCCGCGGCCGCGCCCTCCGTGCACGAGCCCCTCGCCACTAAGGCCAGCACCAGGCCCAGGCTCGCCATTCTCCTCATCGTCCTTGAACTTGATCACGCCACTGTCACTGTCACTTTCCACCCGCTATAGCTACACTAGGCTCAGCTCATTGAGCAGCAGCCATGTTGTTGTTGACACCTCGTCCCGTCCCTGTCCTTCCCCCTCCCCGGAACCAGAAGCAGCTCCTCGGCGGCGGGCGGGAGCGCTCCAGGAGACTGGCCGTCGCGCCTCTCTAGCAGAGCCGAGCAGCACCTGGCTACCGACAGCTGCAGGTGCGTCACGCACACGCAGCAGCAGCGGCAGGTGGGCTTCCCTGCCGCCGGCACGCGCCCGCTGCGCACGCACTCACCATTTTGCTAATCGGTATATCCTTGGCGGGCGGTCACGAAGAAAGATTCTCCCGGCGGTGGGGAGACTTGTGCGGCCGGGTCCGGTCGGGTCGGGTCGCGAGGACGATCGGGATTGGAATGGGAGAGTCGCGGGCCCCGGGCGCGCTTTATAGGGAAGCCGGCGCGAGGTCCGCGGCCCCGGCCGACGCGCCCGGTCTTCCCTCGGGACAGCGGGGCGGGGAGGGGCGCGGCGGGGCGGGGAGG